CGGAAAAGGTAGTTTTAATGTTGAAAAACCCTTTGATTGATCATCTGGACATCGAGATGTATGACCATGAAAAATAAAAAGATTGTGAGTCCCATAAATAATGTATTTTCAACATATTATCTACAATTTCAAGATTTTCATATGTTTATAGATCTACTTGATTTTAACCATTTTTTAAAATTTAAAATTTTATAATTAGATATAAAAATAGATTTTGAGATAATCCTAAAAATATTTTACATCAAAATTATATGCCATGATAAAATTTGAAAGTTCATCCATATGCTAACTGCACACATACTAAAAGTGTGTGTACGAAGTTATGAGGCTCTCTGGCACGAAAGTGACTGTAGGCAACAACAAAAGAAACACCACCATGATTCATCTCATCTGCAATCAAGAGGGAGCGAAAAGTTGTTAGGTGCCACGCACCTGCCCAACCTTCCCTCTCAAACTTTTTTTTTTTCCCAACAAAGAGCTCGGAAAACAAATCTGTTTTGAGAAAGATTCAGAATGAAAAAGAAAGGAGAGAGAGAGAGGATTTGCTTTCCCAAAAGGAAAAATTTTAAGCGAATGGAGGCTACCTAATTCGACAACGACGAAAATGATGCATGGAGAGGAAAGAAGAAACGAAGAGTAAGTTTCTATTGGCTGCCGTGAAAGCATACTGTAGTGTTACTCCCACGGGGTGAAGGAACTGTTCAAAAGTTTTTTATTTCTACTAGGAATTATCAGGTCCCGTGAGAATCACCAGAAAAAAATAATAATAATTGAATTTCAAGTTCTTAAACATGACCATCCAAAACTTAATATCATGGTGTTTATTAGGAAAAATTATGAATGGACACAAAAACTAATGGGAAAATACATAAGGTTCGTATTTCTCTAAATATTACGGCCATGGTCGGTCCCTTATTTGTTTTTCTATTTTTCCTGGTTTGCCTCTCGGTCTCCTGTTACCAATATTGGACCGGTTTTAAATTTCTTTTTGTGTTTTTTCTCGAACTTAAAGTTGTGACCTAAGATTTACGTCACTTATGGAACGGTTCACAGCCTAAGACCACCGACTGCTCTCTATGCGTGGCCTAAAGCCACAGAACTAGAGGGGACATTTGATCGTTCTATCTGTGGCCTAAAGCCACAGACTAGGAGTCTGAGGTGCCTAACCTCTGGCAACTATCTCTATGACCTAAAGCCATAATACTAGGGACCTTGGACTACTCTGTCTGTGACCTAAAGCCACAGCGCCATCCACCCAAGGTCCATGACCTCGCACTATCCACAAGTGACCTAAATCTTAGGACACAATACTACAATCAAGAAGACAAAAAATAAACAATAAAAAAGAAAACCGGTCACATGTTAATAACATTGGACTGAGGGCCAGGCTAGAAAACATAGAAAAACACGAAGGGGCCAACCTTGCAGTAATATTTTAGAAACTATAGACTTTTCCATATTTTCTCATTAGTTATTGTGCCCTCGCATACTTTTACCTTTTTTAATTATGGAAACATTTTAGGTTCCAACCTTAAAACGTAGAATTATAGATGCGCCTCAAAAATCCGTCGGAAATTATTATTTTAATGTTGAAAAACCTTTTAGTTGATCATCTCGACAACGAGATGTATGAATATTAAAATTAAAATAAAAATAAATAAAAAAAGGTTTGGAGTCCCAAAAAAAGTGCATCTTGCAACACATTATCTAGACCGTTCATGTTCAAGATTTTCATATGTTTATAGATCTACTTGATTTTAACCATTTTTGGAGATTAAAATTTTAGAATTAGATACGAAAATAGATTTTGAGATAATCCTAAGATATTTTTACCACAAAATTGCATATTTTGATAAAATTTGGAAGTGCGCTTTAATTGGATTGTTTAAGGTTGCAACCTTATAGGAACCACACCCTTTTATTATTTCCAAGCAAGCCTGATTTTTTTTTATATAATTTTCGTTTCCTTTTTTCTTAAAAAGTTTAACTTGTTTTTGAATTATTTTTTTCTTAATATCACGTCAACTTTTTAAATTTTTTTTGGCCCAGGAGCAGGTGCATCCCAAAATTTGGTGTCTAGGTTTCATGTGAGGCACGAGAAGGACCCAATGAAAAACGATGCTCCCGCGGAAGCATAAAATCCTTTGCATGAGGAGATGGAAAAATCATTGTATCCTTCCTCCAATGGGGATGCCTGTAGCTAGAGGTCAACAAGGAAACATGTGACCCATCCACTCCCTCCAAATCTAATTATCCATTAACAATCAATTGAGGACCGACTGACTCACCACCCCTGAAAAGAGAGAGGAACATGACTTTTAGGAGTCCATTTAGAAATGAGTCCCTTCTAGAAAATTTATTTTTAAAATGGATTTTTGACTTAATTTTTAAGGACATATAATCTTTAAAATGGAAATATCATGAATATAAAAAGTTTAATAAAATTTTAAAATAAAAATAATAATTTTATGATGAAAACATTAGGACAGTTAGTTTCAAGTGTTTTCAGTTGAACCACGCCTTTGCATCCATCTTTAAGATGGATGGTTTATAAATCGGGGGATGCAAATGTAGAAATACGTCCCCCGCCACAAGGAAGTTTTGGAAATAGGAAAGGAGGTGTTGAGAAAGAGACATATACTGAACGGCAACTACCAAATCCATGTAGCACTTGCTAACAGCCAGTCTGGGTCAACACAACTCCGTCCTCTACAAATCCTCTCTCTCGCCCCCACATCTCTCCCATTTTAACCATCTCCGCAATATTTTCTCTTATCTCTCGGTCTTGGGTTTTGTATCATTGGGTTTGCAGAGATGAGGAAGCCTTGCTGCGATAAGCAGGACACGAACAAGGGGGCATGGACTAAGCAGGAAGATGAGAAGCTCATAGCTTATATCCGGAAGCACGGCGAGGGGTGCTGGCGATCCCTCCCTGAAGCCGCAGGTAAAAGAGGAATTCAGCTCTCCCTCTCTCAAAGAACATCTATTTCTTTAATTTTGAACAGCAATTAAGCTCTCGCCTTCTCTCTCTCTTTCAAAGAACATCTCTTTCTTTCGTCTTGAAGAGAAATTAAATCCTCTTGTCTTCTTCTTCTTCTTCTCTCTCTGGCTCTCTCATGTTGACGTACTGCGAGCCTAAGAACCTCATCTCTCTCTCTCATCCATCTTGAATAACTTCATATTCTAGGGTTTGTGTCTTAAATGGAGGGTATTGTTCTATTTTGGCAGGTTTGCTACGTTGTGGGAAGAGTTGCCGATTGAGATGGATCAATTACCTGAGACCCGACCTCAAAAGAGGCAATTTTGCTGAGGATGAAGAGGACCTCATCATCAAGCTCCATGCACTCCTCGGAAACAGGTAATATATTATCACCTCTCTCTCTCTCTCTCTCTCTCTCTCTACTACTACTACTACTACGTACGTAGTTACGTTAGTTACGTTAGTACGTACGTAACGTAACGTAAACGTAACGTAACTAACGTAACGTACTACTACT